TTTTTCTGTGGAACTAAAAGTTCACGCAGAAGATTAACCAACCATTGTATCTCTCGGCTTGCAAAGTTCATCGCCCGATATTCTGACTCCGTGGAAGAATGAGAAACAGTGGGTTGTTTCTTCTTTTTCCAAGAGATTATAGAAGGGCCAAGAAACATGCAATATCCAGAAGTGGAACGTCTAGTTTCTGCACATGATGCCCAGTCTGCATCGGTAAACACCTTTAGAACCAAGTCAGAATCAGCTGAGTAGAATAATCCCAAACCCACCGTGCCTTTGAGATAATGAAGCACTTTGAGAGCAGCTTTGAGATGTGAATTCTTCGGAGCTGAAGTATATTGACACAGGCGATTTACTGCATAAGTAATATCCGGCCTTGTGATGGTGAGATACATCATCTTTCCCACAAGTCTGCGATATGTTTCAGGATTCTCTAGCAATGGTTCATCACTATTCAAACAAAGTTTGGTATTAGGATCCATTGGAATGTTGCACGGTTTACAAGCAAGAAGGCCAGTTTCGTCCAATAATTCCAATGTATATTTTCTTTGAGAAACCGAGATACCTGAGGCTGATCTTACGATCTAAAGTCCAAGAAAGTACTTCAGGGGACCGAGGTCACGAAGTTTGAAGTGAGACTGCAAATCGGCTTTCAGGCGAGAGACATCATCATCATTGTTGCTTGTGATGATTATGTCGTCTACATACACTAAAACAGCTGTGTATATCTCTGCTACATTCCTCACAAAAAGAGTGTGATTGGTATGAGATTTGTTGAACCCAAGCTTCAATAGGGTAGAGCTAAACTTGAGGAACCACTGGCGTGAAGCCTGTTTTAAGCCATAAAGGGATTTCTGAAGCTTACATACAGCATTAGGTGGCAAGCATTCCCCTTGCTTTGGTGTATATCTTGGAGGAAGGGTCATGTATATTTCTTCATCAAGCTCACCATTAAGAAAGGCATTGGAGATATCTAGCTGAGTGAGGCTCCATTTCTTAGCAGCAGCAACAGCTGATAAAGTTTTGACCGTTGTCATTTTTGCAACAGGTGAAAAAGTATCAGCAAAGTCAATACCTTCTTCTTGTGTGTAGCCTTTGGCCACAAGTCTGGCTTTGTAACGTTCCAGGCTTCCATCGGCATTGAGCTTCACTTTATATACCCATTTGCATCCTATAGCATGCTTGTCTGGTGGTAAAGAACAGATAGTCCACGTTTGAGATCGTTCCAAAGCCTTTAACTCCTCATTCATTGCAGAGAGCCATTCGTCAAACTTCTTAGCTTCTCGGAATGTTGAGGGTTCAGAGTGAATGGTCACCAAACAGATGTAGGCTTTGTATTCATTAGACAGCTGAGTGTATGACATATATGCAGCTAAAAGATATGGGATATCTGTCTCCGTGACATTGCAGTAGTAATCCTGTAGATATGCAGGATGTTTCGAAGGACGTCTTGTATTTGGTGAGGATGATGAATCTGTAACTTTGTCTGTCCCAACTGAAGAAGGATGAACGCTGTCACTTATAGGATGGAGATATGAGCTCACCGTACGCTCAGAACATTCATCTTCTTCATTGGTAGACAAAGTTACTCGTGTCTCATCACCAAAACAGTCTTGAGGATAATCAGAAGAATCCTTTGTAAATGGAAATATATCCTCGTGAAAAACAACATTGCGTGAAATGTGTATGCTGTTTGTTTCCAAGTCCAAAAGCTTGTATCCCTTATAGCCTGCAGGGTAACCGAGAAATACACAAGCTTTTGCATAAGGTTGAAACTTAGTCCGGTTCTTTGAGAATGTAGAACTATAGGCTAAGCAACCAAAAACACGCAAACTTTTGTAATCGAGGTTTTTAGAAGTCAGAACCTGATAAGGTGACTTGTTTATCAGCAGAGGTGTTGGAAGTCTATTGAGAAAAAAGACAGCCGTAAGAATGCAATCTCCCCAATATTCCAATGGCATCTTCGCTTGAAACATCAGAGATCTAGCCACATTAAGAATGTGCTGATGCTTTCTCTCCACCACAGAGTTTTGTTCTGGTGTTTCAGGACAAGAGTGGTATGAAATGATGCCTTCGGCTTTGAACAGATCCACGAACTTTAGCTCGGGTGAATTATCTGATCTGACTCCCTTGACAACAGTCTTAAACTGTGTTTCTACCATCTGCAAATACTCAGGAAATATTGTTAGAACATCCGCCTTTGCTCTTAACAAATATACCCAAGTAACTCTTGTATGGTCATCGACAATTGTAAGGAAATACATGTATCCTTCAACTGTGGGAACAGAAAAGGGTCCCCATATGTCAATGTGTACAAGATCAAAAGTATTTTCACACATATGGTTATGAGAAGTGTATGAAAGATGTTTTGTTTGGCAAGAGGAAAAATAGAACAATGAAATGGAATTTTTATTTCTTTGCTTTATTCCCAGTACATCTGATATTATATCCACTCTGGATACAGATGGGTGTCCTAACCGATTATGCCAAAGACTTGTATCTACTACAATGTTGGTAGTACAAGAAAAAATTTGAAGAGAAGACTTATCTATACAATCACTATCCAAAATATAGAGATTATAGATTTGTTCACCCTGACCCATCGTCAATCCCTTGATAGGATCCTGTATTAGACAAGTAACTTATCAAGAATAATTCGACATTTCAAATCCCTTGTTAGTTGACTAACACTTAAGAGATTGAGCCTAAAGTCTGGGATGTATAGAACATTATTTAAGACGAGGAATTCATTCAGTTTGATCTGTCCTATTCCTGCAATCTTAATGTCTAATCCGGTTGGCAAAGTCACAGAATTATTCACAGACATATTCATGTTTATGAAAAGGTTTTTATCATGAGAAACATGATGAGTGGCTCCGCTGTCTATAATTCATGATCTAGATGATAATGCATTTCCAGTGGCTCTTAAAATTCCAACAAAGCCAATGGTATTTGAAGAAAAAGCCATACCTGGAAGAGCAGTTATCATACCACCTAAGGAAGATGCAGAAGTGGGATCAATGGGAGACTGGAGATAAGAGTTGAAGTAGGCTATGACTCCCTCAATCTGGTCCTTAGAGAGACTGTTGATGAATCCAGCATTGGTGTTCTCTGAGGATTGAGTATTGGGGAGATTGAGTTGTGCTACCATTGGTTTAGCCATACCAGTATTCTTGTCAACTGTTGTAGGCTTATGTTTGTGTTTGAAACCAGGTGGGTATCCATGAACCTTGTAGCATTTTTCCACCGTATGTCCATTATATCCACAGTGGCTACAAACTGGTCGAGTTTTCTGACCATTATATGTAGAATGAGTAGCATTGATCGATACAGAGTTATTTGTCGACACATTGAATCTTGAGGCATTCTGGAGAGGATTTATGTTGCGCTGGTTGTAGTCCTGGTCAAGGAGATTGTATACTTCTGCGAGATCAGGAACATGCTTCTTCATAATAATTTGACTGCGAGCATGATTGTATGACTCATTTAAACCAGCAAGAACCTTTATCACTCTCGTGTGTTCTGCTCTGAGATTAGTATCCTTGCAACAGTTGCAGTTTTGGCAAGTCTTTACGCAGTCAGCTCCATCAAGGTCGTCCCACAATGTCTTCAGTTTAGTGTAATATGTGGAAAGATCCGTAGAACCTTGTTGCAAAGACCAAATCTGTTGCATCCATTGATATAATCTTGGTAGGTTTGTGACATGGAATCGAGTCATCAAATCTTTCCAGATCTCAGATGCATACTTCCATAGATTTGCTTCGTTACAGAGTTTAATATCCAAGATTTCACCATGCTATTATATCTTGACCAAATCCGATAATGAGGATGAGATTCAGGTGGACGGGGTAACGAACCATCAACAAACGCTAGTTTATTTTTAGCATCTAAAGCAATCGTAATGGCTAGGTTCCAGGTGTTGAAATTGGTTCCGTCGAGTACCTCAGAGATTAGCGATGTACCTGGATTATCTCCGCTAGTCAAAAAATATGGAGAATACTGAATCCCGTCAAGATCGAAGTTCACATGTGGTGATTTTGATGAAATGACGTCGGGGATTAGGAAAGACAGCGTCGGAACTGTCGCCGGTGGTGGATTCGCGGCTATCATGACTGGAATAGGCGGATCCGAGATTTCAGTCGCTGGAATTTCTTGATCAGCAGCTGATTTTGTTGTCTTTGTTGCTTTTGTTGTCGAAGAACTTGCTCGAGCTGTACGAAGAGTCGCCATCTCGAAGAAGTAAGAGCTTAAAGTCGGTGGAATAACCGAGAGATTGAAGAAGAGGATCGATTCGGATGAATTTCCGAAGGATATAGGTCAAGAAAAGAGAAAGAAAAGCGGATTGGATTGGTTGAAATTTCGATTTCAACGCTCTGATACCATATTAGTAGATGAGAATCAAGATAATCGAGAGAGAAGAGAGGAAGAAGAAGAGAAAATGTTTCTCTTATTTAGTCAACGATTACATTGTATCCCTTATATACAAGGAGACTTTCTGGTTTACATCAAACCAATTACAAATCAAACGGTTAACATAACCATCCAATAGAGAGACAACACGGTTACCCATAAGAACCAACATCAAGCAAGATCAAATTCTGGATGGAAATCTCTGGTTTTGAAAAAAAATTGTTGCAGATATTGGATATCGTTCATATACATGGAGATTCAATGAAGAGCGTCAATCATCGAAATCTGAATTAAACATAATATATACATATTAGATAGAGGCACATATACATAATAGATTGAGGCATGGTGGTCATCGGCCATAAACATTTTCAAACGAAGATGAGAAGTTGTAGATGTGATGAATCGAAGATGTGGATGAATCACCTATGGGAGAGAGAACGGTTTCTAGTATTCATTGGTGTAATAATTTTTTGTTGGGGTATGTTACCTGGCTAAAATCGTGATTTCATTGGCTTATAGCGTAATAAAACAATGATGTGGTGTCTTACGTGGCTAAGTCTCTTGATTTCATTGGTATATAGCAACGTATCAAATCGGTGACGTGTTTTTTACATTTTTCAAAAATTCTATTTTGCCCAGGGAGAGATACGGATCAGAAGAAATCCAAAGATGGCGAAGCTGATGCTCTTCTCCGCCGTAGTCTTAGCGATTTTCTCCCTCGGAGCCACCGTTGATGATAAATGTGCTGCTTGTAAGGCCGTCTCGGTACGTCGGAATATCTAACTTTCATCTTTTTGCTTTCTCAAAAACTTTTGACGAATTAGGTCGAGTTATTACAGCGGATGCGGAATATGTACTAGCGGTTGTTACTGAATATTTGTTTCAGAAATAGCCTTCAATTTAAAAAACTGGAAAAAAAAGAGTCATGTATGTTACACTTTTGGATATCTGCATTTTATTTGTGAAGTAAAATATATTCGAGAACCGATGGTGTTGTATATGAGTGGCTACTGAATTTTCTTTGCGAAATAGCCTTTCATCGTAGGATCACATTATTGGGAAGTAAAGTTTATTCGAGCCGATGGTGTTGTGTTTGAAGCTCTCTTGATGTTTTATTTAGGATAAATGTAAAGGGCATCCCAATAGTTCTGCTACTCAGTTTCTGATTTTTGTAGAAACATAAGAATTTTCATACAGAGATATTGTTTTCCCTAGTGGGAATTCAAGGATGAGAGTTAGAATTGTAACCGAAACTTGGTTTTGTTTCAAAATATGTAACTTTTGTTTTTGCTTTTGTCCTGTTGCAATTTCAATGTGGGACACATTTGATTCTATGGGGGTTATCTCAGAAGATCGGACATAACCCAGATGATAGAACCTAGTTCTTCAAATGATATCTTTTCCCTGTTCATGTTTTGGTTATATGAAAAAAAGACTTGATTTGTTAAGTTTTAGAATGGTTTAAACCTTTCTCTAATAATAACACGGTTGCTCGATTTTGTGCAGGAGGAATTGGAGTTACAGCTTTTGAAGGTAAGAACATATCTAGCATCTTCCATCTTGTAATATAACATTAACAAGAGCATACAGAGCTTGCCTGCTTCTGTTTGCAATGCTTCAACCTTTCTCTTGTCTTTCTGCTGCGATGATTGCTTACAATCACTTTTTAAGTAACTTAATATTATTTACCAAACAGGAAAAACCACGAAACCATCTTGATATGAGAAACCGACTAAATTCTAAAGGCCAGCGTGAAGGAAAGGTTATTGACTACAGGTACGTCATTGAATGCATTATCTGTAAAAGAAACGATGTCTGCTTTTGATTGTGTATACTTCATTTCTATGTGCACATCCTGAAAATCAGTATGATGAACTGGACACAAAGGACAGTAGAAGTTTGGACTGATAGCTCGATTGGACTTTTAAAATCTGATTCCTTACTAGGATAACATGTATCCGTACTTAGGAGGAATGACGAAAAGCAAAGTATCTAACAGTTGGACACTGGTAAGAGTGTCGGTCAGTTTATGTCAAAAATTAATCGATACCCTATGATCTCTCAAACATTGTTTCCCACATTTCCTAGTATAGCTGTGCTGCTGTTGTAGACATGTTTCCCACTGTAGATGATGTTCCTGTAATTTTGTTCTTTCTTTCAAATAGAATAAGCGACCTGAGGGTGGTTGATTTGTTGGATGGGCTGTGTGATCGAATGCAGGACTATACTCTACAAAAGGTAAGCCAATTTCTGTGGAATTCTTATTACTCTTTGATTTTTGTATATTGATTAATTAGATTCTCATTGCCACACTTCTGCAGGTGGAATCTAAAAATAGACAATGGGTCAAAGTAGAAAGTTTTGACAATTTAACAAGTAATGTGTACTTTACATTTAAAGTTTCCTCTTTGTGACATATTTGCATTTGTTCATCATATATCTCCCTGTAGGCGTGTCTAGCTGCCTCAGTACTTATGTAGTTTCATAAAGTAGTTAAGAGTGCGTATCCACTCGTATGCTAGAACACTTAAAACACTGTCATCGGGTTTGTCCTTTCAAAATTTCTGTGGAGCATCTGAGAGAAACAGTGAGAGAGCTTTCATGATGATGGAAACTCTGGAATAAGTAATGTAGCTGTGAAATTCTAATCTTTAGTTATATTAGTGGTTTAGAGACTTATTTGGGACTGATGTTCCGTGTTTTTGTGTTTCTTAGATAAACAAGAAGCTAAAGCGCACGCGAATGACATTTCAACTTATTGTGGAAGGTAAGACAATCGGGAACCTCGTCAGGTCCGATACATGGGTCTCTCAGTATCTTTTTCCAGTCTAAATTTTCATCAAAATCGTCTAAAATCTATATGTGATTACTTAACACAGGTTGCTGGAGGAAACTGAAGATGAGGTAAACTTTGCAGTAACCTTTCTCTTAATTGATTGTTGGGGTCGGATCAAATTCGTTAATGTTGATGAGGGATTGCAGCTCGCCGAGGTAATAAAGAATGGGTCCCTAAAAGTAGGAGACGTCCGCAAGGTTCTGTGTCAAACTTTAAGTAACCACTGCAGCAAATCAAGGTTAGTATAACAGTTTTCTTCCTAGATTAATCTGCCTCTGAACCATGAAAAACTCTTAATGTGCTTGCGAAGTCTATTCATCTACTTAAAATCTTAATGTGTTTGGTTAAGAATCGAGTAAGGATTGGTTTTTGTTTTCTGGTTTACCTGGTTTATTTAACTTGTATTTTATATACTAACCATTTATATTATTCTACATTGAGAGTGTAACAGAATCTCATAAAATTCTGTTTGTTCTTTCATCTGCTTGAAATAAGTTACGGTTCCGTATTTTGCTTTCTGAATTCAGTGAATTTGACTCCGAGGATGAGGACGACGATGCAGATGAATTATAGTTCTCAATACAGTTAAAATCTCACGACTTATTTTACCATCAAGTGAAGGTCCCATTATGGAGACATTTATGTATGACTCATATGTAGCTCAGCCCCTTTTTTCAGTTTTTATGTTCCATCGATATTCTGGTGTAGAAACTTATTTAGATTGTGATAGTGTTCTGTTTTAGAGCCTTTTTCTCGAAAACACTTAAAATTAGGTATGGAGAATTATAAAATTAGTCAAAGTTTACAATATATCTATTATATAAAGAGTGAGTTGAGTTTCACAAATTTGACACCTAAGCACTCAACCTAAGCACTCATCCTTTTGACACATCATCTTCTAAACAATTATTAGATTTTTTTATTAATAATTTTTAAAAATCTTTTCGTAAGTAAGCATCAATTTATTACTTAAATCATTGAATTCAGTGATAAACATACATTTATTAAGATAATTCTCCTAAAAAGTGTGATTCATATTCCTTAAATTAACTAATGTATATCTCCTTATATACAAGTTATTTTAGTTAGATTACTGAACTAAAAAAAAAAAAATAGGAGCAGTCATAAGAGGTCGAGAGAGAGAAAAGGAGAAATAAGAAAAAAAAAGAGGAGAAAGAGTCGTGAAAGGAGGAAGAAAAGAGAAGAGAGGACAAGCCGTGAGTAGGAGAGGGAGAGAGAGGAGGAGATTAATGACAAAGAAAAAAAAGAAACAGAGAGAGCACATAAACACGAGGAAGGAGAACAAGTGTTGGGAAATCAGAATAGATGATGTCGCAGAGAAAGAATGGACTATCACCACCACAAAGGAGAAGAATTGAGAAAGGTATATCTGTTTGTGGAAGTAAATAAAAAAGGAATCAAAGCAAATCAGAATGACTATTAGATACGATATCAATTACTAACTCAACAGAGAATCAGCGATGACCTATAAAAGCTTTTGATTTCTTTATTTCAGTAGACATCAAAATATCTATGCGAAGGCTAAGCAGCCACTATACAATGTTCTTTTGCAAGGAGACCGCCAATGAGGGTCTATATTCTATGAGTCTAATTGTGATTATGTGTAGAATATATTAGCTGGGTCAATAAGTAGCACTGTTATTGTATAGCTTAAGAGTTCTTTAATTATAATTTACCAAAAGTTTATTCATTTGCTTATAATGTAAAGTTTACGTATATGTTTGTGGATATGTATGACAGTTTGTTTAGCTAATTAATGGTTAAAATAAAAAATCTACTAATCATTTTAATACATTCCATAGAAATGCTTATAACCTACTAAACAGAGGTAAATATATTTTACCATGTTCAAAAAAAGAAAGATTGTTGAAAGTTTGGCACCAATCATATAGGAACTAAGTGGAACAAAAGATGAAGAAATGAGTAGTAAAATGTTATCGTTTAAAGAGTCTATTTGAGTGTGTGTGTGTGTGTGTGTGTGTGTGTGTGTGTGTGTGTGTGTGTGTGTGTGTGTGTGTGTGTGTGTGTGTGTGTGTGTGTGTGTGTGTGTGTGTGTGTGTGTGTGTGTGTGTGTGTGTAGTGTTTAGAAGGATTGGATTAGGATTGTGTTTTGATGATTTCATTAGCAAATGTTATCGTATAATTAGGTTTTTTAAGAAAATTACAAATCCAAAATACAAAAAAAGTTTTCAAAATAGATTTAGAGTAATATTTTAATAATGCAACGATAATTTTTAACAATGTGAAACAAATAACAACTATATCACTGTGGTTAAGAGAGAGCTAAGAAGTTTTTAAAGGAGTTGAGAGAAGTGAACACAACGTGATATAGTTTAAAATATATCAGTGCATTCGTGTTAAACTATAGATTTTTAGAACAATTTAATCTTTAAAAAAAATCTTTCTATTATTAAATATGTATAACAGAAATAATAGATTTTTACACAGTATTAAAGTCACCAATTTGTTGTGAGATTTAAAAAAATACATTACAAAAAAGACCCGCGTGTAAACGCGGGTATTCATCTAGTACTATTAAAAGAGATACAAAGTTAGATTTGCTAAGAAAAATTTAATTAGTGTATCCAAACACTTTTTATTTATTGAAAACTAGGTGTTTAGTTTGCGCCTTATGCGGGACGAAAGGTTTTAGAAACCAAAAAACAAAATTGTATGCTATAAATTGAAAAAAATTAAAATAACCATTTAAGGCATAAGAGATCAAAATAAAATTAACTCAAAAAAGTAAACAGGAATCAAAATTAAGTAGTCAAAAAGTACTATATAAGTGTATGAAATCCACAAACTATTAAACTAAAATAAACATGAGTTTTCATTTCTTATTTTTTCTTTTTTATTGTGTTTTTATTTATTTTTTTCTTTATTTTCTTTTCCTTATTCTTTTTCATTGTCTTCTATAATTTTCTTTGTTTTTCTCATGTCTTATTCTTAATTTTTTTTTGTTTTCTTCTTCCTGTTTTTCTTATTCAATCTCCTTCTTATTATTCAACAACTTTGTCTTCTTTTTCTTTGTTTTTACGATTTATTCTTCTTCTCCTTCTGACTTTTTTTTCATCTTTCGTACTCTTCATACTTTTTATGATTCTATATCTTTTGAGGCTGATGCTCATCAATAACACACTATTTGGGCAGGCATGCATTTCCAGCCCTTTACATACATAGAAATTCGAGTGTACAACTTTAGAAAAACATAGATTGACCATATTGGTTTAAGTATTCAGACCAAAACGTTTTGGAATCATCTTTACCAAAACCTCTCTTTTATGATGTAGTCATCGAATCATATCACAAGCCCTTTCTTGTAGTTTAAAAAAAAAAATCCTAACAAATTATTTCTTGTGACAGAAGCTATCCTGTGGTATACTAAAAGGTAATATGTTTTACCTTTGGTTAAATATTTAAGGAATTATACCGTCGGGTTTGAAAAAACATTTTAACTATACATCTCAAACTTAAAACTCTGTTCAAAGGTGTGTTATATTTTTTTGTAAGATTAGAAAGCTGTATTGACTTTTGTGGCTTGCTCCTTTTGAACAATCGAAACTGTTTCTGGACAATCAACTTTAAAAAGGAGCTTAAACATACCAAAGATAAAATTCTCAAAATCTCTTACTTATGCTAATAGTTTAACAAAAAAAAATCAAAGAACTAAAGCAAAAAACAAAAGTAGATGTAAAATGGAGTCTCTACAAAAGGGTTGTGAAATCTTCACGGTCCCAAGATTTGTAGTTTTTTTGTTATATTATTTGCCCTCCATTTCTTTCATATTGTTGTGGTAGAATATTTATTTGTTACCCTATAAAATAATTAAAAAATGAAGAAAAACGAAATTAGATGGAATTGAATCCTTCCAACATACAAACTTAAAAAAACCTAGAGTTCTAACTACTCATCAAGTAATACTACAGGGTCGATTAAGGGACACCAAATAAAAAATCTCTAACTCTTAAGAGGGAATTTTATTAATTAATGCACATATTGTCAATAGATCAAGCTAGGGTTC